CTTTGCAATCACTTGTTATGCATCAGAGAGTGGACAATGACCAAGGAGGATAGAAGGAGAATTGAGGCCTTTGAGCTGTGGGGCTGGAGAAGACTATTGAGGGTACCATGGACTGCTAGGAAAACAAACAGATTCATCCTGGAAAGGATGAAACACGGCTGCTCCTTAGAGGCAAGGATTCTGAGGCTGCGTCTAACATACTTTGGAAATGTTGCAAGGAGGTACAGGTCCTTGGAGAAGGACATCATGCTTGGTAGGGTGGAGGGAGAGCACAGAAGGGGAAGGCCCCCTATGAGGTGGACTGATTCAGTCAGTGACTGGGGTAATAGGGATGGGTGTATTGGAGACGGTGCGATTGGCACAGAACAGAGTGGAGTTTAGGGCTGTTGTACATAGGGTCGCTATGAGTCGCAAGTGACTCGATGGCACATAACAACAACAACAATACTGCCATGACAACAGCAACAAACAAACCAGAGAACACAGAGGGGAAATAAAAAGAAAGGACATTGGAGCCTTTGTTGAAATACACTGTCCACAAGGCAACAGCTCAGGGCAGCTACATTGAGAAACACAAGCAATACTCTTTATCTATCTATCTATCTATCTATCTATCTATCTATCTATCTATCTATCTACCTACCTACCTACCTACCTACCTACCTACCTACCTACCTACCTACCTACTTGCTCAGCTCTATAATCAACACCCTTGGAACCAGCAGTCAGAAAATCAAAAGATGAATTGCATTGGGAAAATCTGCTGCCAGGGACCTCTCCAGAGTACTGAGAAGCAATAATGTCAATCTAGAGACTAAAGTGTGCCTGATTCAGTCTATGGTCTTCACAATTACTTGCTATGCATCAGAGAGCTGGATAATGACTGAGGATGACAGAAGAAGAATTAATGCCTTCAACCTGTGGTGCTGGAGAAGAGTCTTGAACAGACCATGGACTGCCAAGAAAACAAATAGGTCTGTCTTGGAGAGGATGAAACCCAGTTTCTCTTTGGAGGCTAGGAGTTTGAAGCTTTGTCTCACATACTTTGGGCACGTGGCCAGGAGAGGCTGGCCCTTGGAAATGGACATCATGCTCGGAAGGATGGAGGGACAGTGCAGGAGAGGAAGACCCCAGATGAGATGGATTGATACAGTAACTAGGATAAGACAGGGCAGGTTTCAGAACTGTTGTACGTAGCATCGTCATGAGTTGTAGATGACTCGACAGCGCTATAACAACATCTGCTGAGTCAGACAATTCAGTAGGTAGATTTTATTAAGGCTTAGATTCTGAGTCATGGCTGTCCTGTAGGGCAGAGAAGAAATACCTCATAGAGTTCTATAGGCTGTAATGTGGACTGGAGCAGGTCATGAGGTCTGTTTCCCAAGAAGTCACTGGGTAGGCTTGAACCACTAATCTTTTGTATAGAAGATAAGCATACAACTATTGTGCTACCAGGGCTCCTTTACTATGTCCTAAATATAGTTGTTGTTGTTGTGTGCCATTGAGTTGGAATCAATTCATAGCTGATCCTTCTGCAGATTTTCAGAGGTTGTAAATCACACAAGAGGAGACTGCCCATTTATCTCCCCAAGTACCAGATAGCTGGTGAATTCAAACCAGGTGCCTTTGTGTTAGTAGTGCAACTCCTTACCCTAGGCCACCAGAGCTCCCTTAATGAAGTAGTATTTAGGAAAAGCAAAGGCGGTTGCCTTCATTAGACACTCCGACCCATAACAAGCCCACCTGTGTCCGCAGGAGAACCACACTCAGTAGTTTCTCAAGGGCTATTTTTTCATAAGTGATCACGAGACCCTTCTTCTGAGGGATCTCTAGAGGTTCAAGTCCAATCTCCCTTGACTTGAACCACCCACAGATACAGTTACATTACCATGCTTTGAGTTTGTTTGCTTTTTTCCCCCCCTTCTGGGACCAAAAATAAATTTAAAAACCCTCTATCAATCTAATTGTTATTTGAAATACAAAACAGCAATGCACCTTCAAATCCAAGTCCTTTGAAGTACAAATGAAAGATTTGTTTGTGTATGCATACCCAATAAGTAAAACTTAGGCTTAATACATAATAGTTTAAAAAATAACCACAACAGCCCTCAGAGACTTTCAGACCCATAGGCCGCTCCCCAGCATGGAGTCACGGCCAAGGGCTCTGCTGGCAGACCCGTCATATGGACTCACCAGAGACGTGCGGGCCACAGCTTCCACCACTGCATCAAACACCTTCTGGGGCAGCCGCAGGAGCGTGGTCCCACTGTCCACGATGGCCTTGTCTGCGTTATACTAGGAACAGACAAGAGGGGCAGGGAGAGGACAGATGAAAACCAGCAGCGTTTCACCTCAATGCCAGCTTCCAGCACCTGCCATCACAACGGAGCGGTTAGACGAGTCAGGGCAGCTAGGGGCCTTCTTTGGCGGCGACATTCTATTTTACGTCCCAAGAATCTGGAGAGCAGAGGTCTTCTAGCCCAACATGCACAATCATAGATGTGGGAACTAAGACCCACCAGGAGACAGTGACATGAGCAAAACACTCTCCCCAGTACTAAGCTGCTTCCTCCTCAGAGCTGTCCAAACTCCTTCATCAGTGAACTGCTATGAAGGAGATGATCTTCCAAGGTTTCAGTATTCAGTAGAATCTACATCAGTTGCTCAGAATCAGCTCTCTAAGAGCCTGTGAGGATGGCACAGAATTGGGTGGCATTTGCCTTCCTTGTACACAGAATCACTACCAGTCAGAGTTCCCTTGGCAGCACCTCACAACAACAACAAAGAGGAAAAGAGGAAAGGGAAGGACAATTTAGCAATTAAAACAATCTGTTGCTGTGGAGTCAACACTAATGTAGGTGGACCCTTCTCAGAGTAGCACTGGAGCTTGTGGGGTTTTCAGGGGCTGATTTCTGGAAGCAGATTGCCAGGCTTTTCTTCCAAAAGGCTTCTGGTGAACCTGAATCTCCAATCACATTCTGTGTGTGGCCGAATGATGAGATGGACACAAGACTAGCAATCTAACCTAACTCAACCCTAACCCTAGCCCTTACCCTGCACAAACAAGGGTGACCAGGCATGGGATGAGTCCTGGGCCATTGGAGCGTCCTGCTTTTAAGGCAAATCTATGGATCATAAGACTAAATACACTAATCAAGTCAAAAGGCAGTGGATGGAAGAATGCAGAATTTTAAGAAAATGAAGCATACTAATATGTTGTGTATTAGAATTCTTTTCAAAGATAAAATTACTTTCTGTTTAGAAACAAATTTAATTAAAAATATTATTTAGTTTGTTCAAATTATATATTATTTTTTTCTTTTTACAAATGTAAGAAAAGTAAAACTATATAAGGCCTATGCTCACTAGAAATGTGTGAGGTATTCTTCCTTCTGTGGAATGGTTGGCACTCTGGTGGACAGGAAATAATCAAGAATTTGAGAATCAAACCTAATAAACTCTAATATAGACATAAAAGAGACAGTCAGATACACACACAAACACACACACACACACACACATAGAGTTTGTTTTGTATTTTGGCGTTCACAGTGGAACTTGATATGACTAGGTTCTTAGGCTCTTTAATGTTAAATAAGTGCATTGTGACTTTTTAAACAATTCACATAGTTGTGGACTTAGGAATGAAACATAATCACAGTGAAACCAGCCAGCATGTTATCTATCACCTTGGCCGTTCACTGGTTTCTCAGAGAAATCTTTGCACAGCACAGAAAGTAGTAGTGGGATCTGATGCACATCAGAATAAAATGAAATACTGATAGTCTCTAGAAACCCTTTTGAAAATGCTGTAGAAGGTGGAGGCTCCCCCAGATCATTGTAATCTTAGCAGCATAAAACAAAACAACAAACTCCTGTTATGATTGAGTCAATTCGCTCTCATATCAACTTTATAGGACAGAGTGGAACCTCATAGCGTTTCTAAGGCTGTAATCGTCACAGAATTAGACCACCACATGGTTCTCTCCCATGGAGCAGCTGGTGTTTGAACCTCCAACCTTTAGGTTAGCAGTCAAACACTTAACCACTGCACCAGCTGGGCTCCGTAGTTCAAGAGTCTTCATTAACCACTTTATGCTAGCTTCTCCTGTAAAAGTGGTTAAAAAGAAACATTTTCTTTATTGGAGGGTTGTCTTCATACAAATTTGATACCATACAAAGAGTCCCTTGTATTTTACTGTAACAACTTCTGTGCTAAAATAACTTCTGATTCCATTCACAGCACATACATAACATATTTGCAAGACTTGGGCACAGACAAAAAGACACAACAGAGAACATCATACACATACCTCTCTGCAATCCAGATTAAGGCTTTGGCCTCCGATTTCCAGTTTTAGAATTTCTATCTGGTAATACCATTCTTCCTTAATGGGTGTATACCAGATGTCTCCTTTATACAAACTTGGTTCAATTCCACCCAAGACCTGGGAAGAATATATTTACAGGCATAAGAGAGAAAAACACAGAGACATATCAGCGGGCTACACAGGGAAGCATGCACTTATAACATGAAATTCATAGCAGTCAGTATTTCTATTTTACTGCAGTGATACGAATCATATATATGCAATACACACACATATATAAGCTCAACTCATTGCTGTTGAGTTAGAAATAATTCATAGCAGACCCTACGTTGGGTTTCCGAGACTATAAATCAAACAGGACAAGATTTCCACTCTTTCTATTCTGGGTTCACTTATGTTCAAACTGTCAAGAAATGTGCCACCTTACAAAGTGTCACTTAGGGTTCACTATGGACTAGGTCACCAGAGTTCCCTATATCTCTCTATCTAGGCATGCAGATAGATACACATCTATGTGTCCACATGGGTTCACGTGCGCGCATGCACACACATGTAAATAAGCAAGTGACCATGTGCACAAAGGTCAGAAAATATGATGCCCTGGTATAACATGGATCTTTTGGTTGGTTTGTGTGTGTGTGTGTGTCTAAAGGGAATCCATGTTTCCAGCTCTACAATATTCCAGTATGCTCAGAAGAATGTACAAAGATCATTAACCAGGGAGACTGACAGTAATTTTATTCTTTAGAAATCAGATAAGAGGGAAGCAGATCAAAATAGCTTCCCTAATCAAAACTTCATATTGTAAAACCATTAACGTTACCCCATAAATCCTAAGCAACCTTCTCCCTCCCAGAGGAGTTTAAAAATGTGTTATGAGCAAATGGGTTATAAGCTAATGAAAGATGCTAGGAAATGGAACCTTGGTTCTGTCTCTCAGCTTCAGGAGTGTTTCTCTCATACCTCAGAGACACCCTCCTTCCACCACCCACCTACTTTTAACACAAGGGTGTAGGTAGCTGGGGGGACAATTAGCTGTTGTACATCCAAGGGGAGTCAACTTTAGGTATGATACAGAGACGGGGGTGTGAGAGAGAGAGAGAGAGAGAGAGAGAGAGAGAGAGAGAGAGAGAGAGAGAGAGAGAGTGTGTGTGTGTGTGTGTCTTGAGAGAAAGGATGTCCTGGTGTCCAACGTATTTCTCTGCTGCCCCTGTGTAGGGTAAGGCACACCTTTGGGCCCCCCACTGTTTCTCTCCCCACCCACAGAATAAAGTCCTTTCAAAGGAGATAATACACAAAAGCTGTGATGGAATTTGAGGAAGGAATGAGAACTATTTTTCTAGATGGTAAGATGATTTAGAAGGACAAAATAATATCCCACTTTACCCATTTCTTAATGTTTCTCTATCACGAATCATTACATTTTCACAGTAAGTATACAGGCCCGTGTGCCTCGTACTTTTGATTCTTAATAAAACTAAGTGGTCCCAATGATTTGTGATTTTTCTCCCCTTTATGACTAAAAGATACCCACAAGACTACCTCCGTTGGTACCAGAACCGGCCACTGGCAATCCTGCTCCACACATCTGCATGGAGAAAACATTGGGGATCTTGGCTTGGGCCACAAGGGAATCAAAGAATGTCTCCAGAGAACTTGATGGCTGTGGGAAGATAGAAAACAGCTTCAGGACACACAACAGAGATACAAAATGCTCCAGTGTTTACACACACACTCTTATTTGTCTTTACACTTCATCTTCCAGGGCTAAACAATAAATGAATTTATCATTGGGTAGGGTAATTCAGAACAGAACTTTCTATTCTTGTTGGACTTTCTAGTCTTGTTAGATGCTGTTGATTTGGCACTGACTTGTATTGGTGTTACGTACAACCGAACAAGATCCTGCTGGATCCTGCCCACCTTCACATTTCTGCCATGCTGAAGCCCCTTGTTACAGTCACTTTGCCAAGCCTTCTCACTGAGCGACCCTTCCTCTACTTTACAAAACATGATGTCCTTTTCTAACAACTGGTCTCCCTTGGTAACATGTCCAAGTCCATGAGGGGAAGACTCACCCTCCTTGCTTCTAGGGAGAATTCTATTAGCACAGATTTGTTTGTTCATCTGGCAGTGTGAAGTATATGCAATGTTCTTTGCCAATATTACAATTCAAAGGCATCACAATTATTTTTTATTAATTTTAATGAAAATTTACAGACTTTGGATTTCCATTCATTCATTGTTGCACTTTTCTCCCTCCCCATCCCTTCCCTGTCCCCCCTCCCCCTGCCCCAATACACTCTTCTCTTTGAAAAGTAAAAGAAAAATTCTTTCATTGTTATATAATCTCTTCCCCCAGGTCCACTCCAGTGTACAGCCTTCGCTCTGGACTCCTGTCATGATAATAATACCTAATCTTATATCCCTTTTAAACAGTTTTCTCCCTCATCTGTTTCAATGCCGTATAAACATTACTGAACCCATCTTTCTCAGTCTCCCCCCAACCCCGATGTCAGTCCTGTTTTACAACAGTGGCACCATGCAGTATTTGTCCCTTGGTGACTGAGATATTTCACTCAGCATAATGTCCTCCAGGGTCACTCATTTTAAATAATATTACGTGAGTTCCTTGTTTTTCAATGCTGCATCACAATTCTTAATGCACTCTCCAGCTTTCATATGCACATGAAGTGACTGAAAATCATGGCTTGTGACTGATTTCTTAGTCCTCAACCTGTTATCTCTGTTTTGTAACACTTAAAACACTGAGTGGATTTCCCCAAAGCAGTATGCCACTTGATTTTGTGATTGCTGCTTCCATGGACATTGATGTAACACATAGAATCCAATTCTTGATAGTTCCAGTATTTTTCTTCATTTGTTATAATGTTGTTTATTAGGCTAGCTGTGAGATATTTTCTTTTATAAAAAATACTGGGATGCAACTCATACTGAAGGCTAGAAAGTCTCTGAGTTTCATCAGTAAGTACTTCAAGTCCCCTTCACTTGCAGCAAGCAAGGTCTGCACACTCTAGTTTGTTGATGAGTCTTCCACCAATTCTGATGCTCCATTCTCCTTTTCATGGTCCAACTTCTTGGATTATCTGCTCAGCTTACACAGTAAACGAGTATGGTGAATGGTTACAACTCTGACAAAGTCCTGTTTTTATATAAACAATTTGTATTCCCTTGTTTAGAAATTCTTATTGCGTCCATTGCATGGTATTTTGGTACTTTTCCTTTTTGGTGCTGCTCTGTTGTCAAAATAGGATCACATTTCCAGAAGCTATTAAGATGCTCTCACATCATGACTGCCTTGTGAGGGAGGCGTGAGGAGATGTGGAGGTGGGTTACCAACAGAGCTGGGGGACTCTAATCTTAGACATTCCAGAGCAAGGAGAGAGTAGTCTCTCTAGCAGCCAACTTTGCTTCTGAAATCACTGTTTACTTTTCTCAGTCCAGCTGGTCCATTACACCAACAGGAGATAACCATTGACCCTTGAAGGCAATTCTTCTCCAACTCCAGATTTTGGGAAATTTAGATCTGAGAGTTTGGGCTCTTACAAAGAGTCTCCAGAACGCTGGTAAATAGGCAAGTAGAAGCAAAAGGAACATTGTCTCCACAAGTTTAAAAGCCCGGTTATTCCTCCCTGCCACATGTACACCAGAAGCAGAGAGGATGATGGGATGGCAGCCCACTTACTCTCGGCACACAATCAGGGAAGATTAGTCATTAGACGGGGGCTTCACGTCTGGAAAAACAAGAAAAGAAAAGAACGCAACCCATTGCTGTTGAGTTGATCCCAACCGATGACAATCCCATGGGTTACAGAACAGAGATACTCCCTACACTTTCAGGACTGTAATCTTTCAGGCAGCAGTTCTCCAGCACCATTCTTCAGTGTCGCGCCTAGGTTTAACCAGCCAACGTTTTCGTGCATAGTGAAGCACTGTTACAGTTTGCACCACCAACGAACCTTGGTAAAGCAGAGGGATGAAGAAAAAGGAAGGAAATCCTCAGTGAGGTGAGGTGACAGAATAGCCACAATATACTCAAATGCAGCGGAGATCATGGTGGGATGCAAGGAGACAAGGGTGGGAGCAGACCAGACTCCTAGGAATGGCATCAGTAAACCTAACTTCATCTGTCCCTTTCTTGTCCACCACCCTAGATTCTGAAGACATGTCCATCATTTCCCTGAAAGGACCCAGAAGGAAAAGGGACGACCTCCTGGGAATAGCGCTGAGATGAAGGGGGACCAGGGCGGTGGCGGAAGGTTCAGAGGAAGGTCATAGGCTTGAGTCTTGATTTTACTTTGACAACTTGGGAGATACTAGAATTAGTCACGGCAAGTTGTTAGACTGGGATGACAATATCACAGTGAAAAGTGGTAATGTAGATGCTCTAGACCTACTTTGGGCACCTGTGGTTGACATCAGGAGTGATTATTTATTATCTATAAAAACGAAAACTATAACGCTGCAGGGAGAGAGAGGAGAATTCCATTATCAAGCGGATATAAATCTTTCTCTTTGTTTATTAGTCCATTTGTGTTTGTCCTCCCTCTGCTTTCTGTCTTGGCTTCTAGAGAATTCTACAGCAGAATTCGGCACAAAATATATATAATGTTTATTGAGATGATTTGTGTTTGGGTCAATGAATAAGGAAAAGTGCTTCCTTGAAGAGAAATAGGTCTGATGTTTTCCTTCCACTCACTTTCTGAAATTGAACCTTGACTCCAGCACTGTCCCATTCATTTGTTTCTTTATCAGTATGATGAGGAAAACAATAACTTCCTAAGAGGCTATGTGTGTTAAATGGGCTGTTATGTACAAAGAGAGAGCTTAGAGCATGGCACACGACAGGGGCCTTAGGATTATTCTAACAAGTGGTTCTTTAATTAGGACCAAGTGTTAGAATCCCTGTTGTTGTCAGGTTCCATTGAGTCAAGGACAGCCCACAGTGACCCTATGAGATCTGAACCCCGTCCTATCTTGTGTCATCCTCACACTTCCTGACACACTTGAACCCACTGTGGTAGTTACTGTGTCAATCCACCTGGATGAAGGTCTTCCTCTCTTTCAGAATCCCTGTAGGACATTTTTGAAAATGCAGCAGCTCAGGGCCAACCCTGAGAAGATCTGGCTGGGTAGGTCTACAGTGGGCCTGGGTGAGGAAGCCCATAGGTGGCTCTGATAAACAGCTTTGGCATAAAGGAGCTATTGCTGGCCCAAGGTCATCAGGCATTATGCTCAGCACTGGCTGTGTGACCCATTTGCTCCAGAATCACCTTTGGCACCAAGCCAGATCACCCTCTGAGTGCCCTGCCAGTCCTGTTTCCAGCTTTGGTCTACTTCCTCCCAATCCCGTTCCTACCTCTCCATCCCGGAGGACTATGAAGCCAACTGTGGGTAATCTCCTTGGAATTCCATAGACAAAAAGATAAAGGGTCATCTGAGAGTCCTGACACTCAAACACTTCCAAAGTAGTTTGTCTCCCCAGATGTTTTATATATTATTAATTCAGATATTTGGGTTTAGTCTATCATTTTCTGAATAATTAGTATAAAAGCAAACATACATATACCTTTCCTTTCAAAAACATTATCAATATGAAGCATTTTTCCCAAGGTCAGAGTCTCAGTGAAAATATAATCAGAAATTTAAGTTCCAATTTTCATATCCCAGGCTACTAGACTGAAGAAAAAGGATTCATGGCCCAGCCTGACTCCACAGACACAAAATGGTAAGTGCATGGTAAGTGCATGCAGGACTCTGTTCTGATTGAGCTGCACATGGAAGTAAAACCTCTCTGTCCCTCAGTCTCCATATTTCTAAATGGGAATAATATGGCCTTAGAGAGTACATCCTATAAGATTCTGTCTCGTGCTTAATAAAAACCAACCAGTCAGGGTGAGTCAATTCCAACCCCCATCACCCCACGTGAGTCACGAGGATTTTATGGGCTAATCTTAGGGAAGCAAATCACCAAGTTGTTTTTGGGGTTTTTTCCATGAGGCACCTCTGAGGGAACTTAGCCTTCTAACCTTTCAGTTCTCAGCCAAGTGTGTTAACTGTTTGGGCCTGAGACTCCCTAATGTCTACAGGGCTTTCAGTAATTGCTGAGCTTTGTCATTATGAAGTCACGGGGCTGGGGTGAACCCCACACATCCATTAGCTAATAATCTTGAGTTGGAACCAATATTTCTACATAGAGGAAAAGGCAATGTTTTCTGGATGCCCTGGATCAGGGGAGGCTCATGTGTTACAGGACTCTCTGTTCCTACAATCACACTTCTTTTTTTCTACAATACTTGGCTCTGGCTCAAAGCCCAACATTGAACAATGCCAGGCTGAGGTGTGGTGCCCAATTACAGGGCCAGGAGAGGTGCACCGTTTGTTCTTTCCTCCTGTGTACACAAACCCACCCGGCCTCCAAGGGCTCAGAGACGCATCCAGGCTGGTATCTAATTCTCTGAGGTGGAGACTTCCCTGCCGGTGAGCAAGCCTGCTTCTCCAGCCCTTAAACATAAAAATTTCCTTTGAGTTGGTCCCAAGAACAGGGATTTTGAGAGCATTTAATTCTATTTTTCCACATTTTGTGAAGGTTCTGATGCAGATAAGAACTGAGTCCCCTAATTTCCCCTTTCTCCTTGGTTCATCTCTGCATCCAGTAGCCACAGTCCTCGGAGTCGAGTCCCTGAGTCTCCTCAGAGATGATCAGGTGGGAAGCAGAACAGGACGAGGTGCTCCAGGCCTGGGTGAGGGCATCTATACCTGCCAATACCCTGTCTATTTTTGGTAGGGAGAAAGGCAATATTCAACATGAGTGAAGTCTCTACAACTTAACCAATATAAATAAGACAAGGATATGGGTTGACCTTGGTAAATGTCATAACATGTTCTATTTTGTAAGAGTCATCTAAAGAGCAAACCAAACCACTGCCATAGTATCAATTCCATGGCCTAAGGACAGAGTAGACTCATCCCATAGGGTTTTCAAGGCTATATGTAATTAGACACTTTCTCCCATAGAATATTCGGTGAGTTCGAACTGCTGCTGGTTAGCAGCCTAGTGCTTTAACTAATGTGCAATCAGGGCTTCAGAAACAAATTATAATAATAACCAGAAATACATGTGTGATCATACATGTAGATATGTATGCTTACATGTACATAAGAAAGCATAGGTGAGTATTTGTGTGAGCATGTATAGGTGTTATGTGTAGGCATGTGTATGTGTGTGTGTGTGTGTGTGTGTATTTGTGTGTGCTGTACATATACTATATACACAAAAACAAATAGAAGCCACGGTTACAGAAACTTTTTAGACATGACAAAGATTTAGCAGGACTGCTTTACAAGGTTAAAGCAATTAACTCATGGAATACAGTACAATTCATAAAGATAATGTTCAAAATCCTAGATGGTGGAGTACTGTCTGTAAAAACTTGCATCTGGCTATTTAAGACCCAAATATTGGCCTTTACTCCTTTGGAGGAGGTTGGTAGAAGCTGTCAGGAGATCATGAGATGTATTGTATTAGGCAAGTCTGCTGTCAGAGACCTCTCCAGTTTTCTATACTACATGAGAGGCAATGATGTCAATTTGAAAATGAAGGTGCACCAGATTCACGCCATGGGCTTTTCAAACACCACCGATGTATATGAAAGCTGGACAATGAATAAGGATGACAGAAGTATTGATGCCTTTGAGCTGTGGTGTTGGAGAAGAATATCAAATATCCCATGGATTGCCAAAAGAACAGATATGTCTTGGAGAAAGTACAGCCAGAGTGCTCCTTGGAGGCAAGAGAGACAAAGCTCTATCTCACATACTTTGGGCATGTTGCTAAGATAAGCTATTCCTTGGAGAGGGTCATTGTGCTTGGAAAGGTGGAGGGTCAACGAAAGAGAGGAAGATGAAATGGACTGACACAGTGACTGCAGCAATGGATGCAGTGTGTCAGAAATAATGAGAATGGCACAGAATAGGACAGGGTTTAGATCTGTTATTCACAGGATTGCTATGAGTCTTATTCAATTCAACAGTACCTAACAATAACAACAACAACTCATTTGGGGAAAAACAGAACAAGGAACATAAACACTCAAAGAAAATAGTCCAGGGGCCGAACTAGATAGTGCCTGGCTACCACTACTAGCCAGGGACACAAGAGAAGGCCCTACATAGAATTCAAGAAAAATGGAAAACAAAATTGAAATTCTTAAAGAGGCTGAACTTACTGGACCGTTACAGACGAGAAGAACCCGTACAACCAGCATCTTAAAATAACCTTGAATTTGGAACATAAGCCACTCCCAGAAATCATCTTTCAGACAGCAGATTGACTTTATAAAACAAGCAATATTATCTGTGAGTACTATTCTCCTTTAAATAATCAACTATATGAACAATCAGTATTTACCTCAAAGGAAAGATGAGAAGGTAAAAGGGGCAGGGAAGGTAAATTCGTGGAAACAAAACAAACAGAATGGGAGTAGTAAATATGACAACAAACTATAAAAAAATGTAGCCAATGGCACACAAAACTTGTACAAAAATTAATAAATGAGACCTTACTTTTTGGTGTAAATTTTCATCTAAAACACAGGAAAAAAAATTTTTTTTTAAAAAACCAGCCAGTGAAAACCCTACAATCATAATGATTTGATCTGACCAAGGTTGTACAAATAGGCAGCATCTCTTCCTCTCTCTGTCTCTCTCTCTGTGTGTGTATGTGTGAGAGAACACTGTGAGTCGGGAGCCAACTTGATGACAGTTAACAACAAAAACAACAACAAAGAAAACTTAAATGAATACCATATCAGAATGATTCAGATTCTGTTAAAATGCTTAATATATTATTAAATTAAAAAAATGTTTAAAAAGTAGTGTTAGTCTGTCTTGCAAGGTTTACAGAAAAGTATTATTATCAGCATTAGTCTCAACATTAAGTAAACAAAATCTTCACAAATAAGCCAACAGGCAACATCACAACATATGGAGAAAATATTGGAGTTGTAAAAAAGAAAAAAAAAATCATTTTGCTTGGAACCACAATCAACAAGCAGCAGTAATCAAGAAATTAAAAGACGTGTTGTATTGGAAAAATATGTTGCTAAGGACTTCTCCAAAGTGCTAAACATCAATGATGTCAGTTTAAAAACTAAGGTGCACCTGATAAAAGCTATGATATTTTGAATTGCTTTCTTTGCATCTGGAAGTTGGACTACGAATAAGGCTGACAGAGGAAGAATCGATGTCTTTGAATTGTGGGGTTGGAGAAAGATACTGAATGTCTCATGGACTGCTAAAAGAACAACACAAGTCTGTTTTAGAGGAAGTGCAACCAGGGTGCTCCCTGAGGTAAGAACAGTGAAAATTCATCTCACATACATGGGGCTTATCATTAGAAGGAACTAGTCTTTGGAAAAGGACATGATGGTGCGAAAGGTGTAAGATCAGAGAAAGAGAAGACCTTCAACACACTATCACAATGAGCTGAAGTATAACGGAGATCATGAGGACAGCACAAGATAGGGCAGGGTTCAGATCTGTTCTTTACAGAGTCACTATGGGTCAAGTGCATTTAAAAAACAATCTTGCAAGAAAATTTAGAGAATAGTGCTGTCTGCCTTAACTTGAAAGCATCCTTAAGAAAAGAATTCATTGTGTGGACACTAGCCTGTTTTCACAATTAATATTCATTACCTGTTAACTGCGTGTTTGTCTCCAATGATGGACCAGGACACATTTTTCAGCTTCTTATCGCCTCGTTTGACAATCTCATTCTCACTGTTCAATTTTCTTAAATTAATGGATTAGCCTTACCTTGGCTAGAGTAGCATAAGCAAGTCCAAGTATTCCATTCCATTTAATCCCAGGCAAAAAGAAATTTTCGGACTCAAAAATAGTGGCAATGTTGACGAGAAAAGAACTGTTAAAGCCTTTTGGGATGGTAACCATGTCCTCTCCCACGAAGCCTGTCCAGCTGCCTTGCGTGTACTTCACAGTGACCTCAAAGCCCTTGGAGTGGTACGTGCTGGACCTAGATAAATAAAGAGGCTGTTAGAGCTACTCCCCCAGAAGAGTGTTATGTATTCAACTGTGTCCTCCTGTGTAAGATGGAAATCCTAACCCCTGTGAGTCAGAACAAGCCCTGATGTGTGGTGACTAAGTACTCAGCTGGTAACCTTAAGGCTGACGGTTCTACACCACTAGCTGCATAGAAGAAAGATGCTTCAGAAATGCTATGGGTCGGTCCTACTTTGTCCTATAGGGTTGTTATGAGTCAGAATCATCCTCATATTGGTGGCTTTGTTGTGAGGCTGAATCAATCGGATGGCAGTGGATTTTAACATCTTTGCAGACACAAGCTGCCACATCTTTCTCCCATGGAGTCAGTGGTGTGTTGAATGGCCGACCATTTGGTTAGCACATGAGTGCTTTAACCACTGCACCTCCAGGGTACCATTCTGGCAAGTATGTTGTTGTTGATTGCCATCAAGTTGAGCATGACTCATAGTGACCCTATGAACAAAAGGCTGGAAGCCCCTCTACAACTATCAACATTTATCAACGTTTATAGAGTTTCCGGAGGCATGTTGTTTAGGAAGTGGATGCCACTCCTGCTTCCGATTCATTAATATGTTAGTGGCTAAATCTCTACAGGTAAACATTTTTTCCCTGTTTGTGTAACTAAATAGTTTTGGGATTTAAAAAGTTCTTATTACTAATAAAAGGGCAAAGCATCTGACTGTTGTTACTGTTACTATATACTGTTGATTTAGGAGCGACCTATAGCTGACCCTCTAGGAGGTTTTTAGAGGATGAAAATCACACAAGAGGACATTGTCCATCATTTTCCTGCAGAGAAGTTGGTGGATTTGAACCCAAGCCTTTGCCTTTGCCAGGCAGTGTAGCTCCTTACCACTAGGCCACCAGAGCTCCCTAAGTATATAGAACAAAATGTTTGCCCTTTACACAAGTTTTGCAAGCATAATTCAATGGCATAGATTGTGATTATTATGTGAAACCATCACCACTATTTCCAAATTTTCCCACTGCCCTTAACAAAGCTCAGTGTCCCCAGAACAAGCCCTCTCCTATCTCGCCCCCCTCAACCCCCGGAAACCACTAAAAGAATTCGGTCTCTCTACATGTTCCTATTTCAGATCTATATGTAAGCCAGGTGATACAATGTTTATCTTTCTGTTACTGACTTCTTTTGTTTTTAAGGCCTGTACACAATTCTCAGTAAATAACTATGCTGATGCGAACCATGTGGTAGGTTCCCTGACACCATTTCTGACACATCTGCAATAATGTTTCCCACTACGTGTATGAGGTGGTGGTAACATATGGGCGCTGAAGTTACTTCTTCTTCATGCCTAAACTGGAGTTCCTGAGGGCCACAAACAGTTAAACTGTTGGCTACTACATGAAATGTTGGAGGCTTGATCTTACCCAGACATGTCTTAGAAGAAAAGCCTAGTGATATGTTTTTGAAAAATCAGCCATTGAAAACCCTATGAAGCCCAGCTCTACTCTGAACACCTTGTTTCCATGAGTCAGTCATGTTGAGGGTAACTGGTTTTAGTTCTTTGGTGCCCAAGTAAAATTCTGTTAAGTCAGGTGCTATAGTTTACAGCTTTAACCTTGAAAGAGAACAACTCACTTGAACACCTGTAAAACAAATACAAGAGAGACTGGAACTCTTATTCATTGCTGATAGGAAGATAATATGGAAACAACCGCTATGGAGGGCAGTATGATGTTTCCTCAGAAAGCTGGAACTAGAAATAACCATTTGACCCAGCTATTCCACCACTGGGAATACACCACAAAGAAATTAGAGCTGCAACACAGTTATACACACACCCGTGTTTACCATAGCATATTACACAATAGCAAATAGATGGAGACAGCCCAGGTGCCCACCACAATTGAATGGATGGAGGAACTAGTCATACAATGAAATATCATGCAGCAATGGAAAATAATAATCTCGTAAAACACTGCTCAATGTGGATGAGTCTGAAAGACATTATGCTGAGTAAATGAGATTTCTCAGTCACAAAGGGACAAATACTGCATAAACCCATTATTGTAATAATAGAATTGAGCCAGAAATGGGGGAAAGAGCAGGGGTGGGGGGAGAAGAAATAATGAACAGTGCACTGGAAAGCAAGGGGCTTCTGAAAGAAATGGACAATTGGAAACCATATTTATGACAATAAATAGTAGGGGAGCGAGGAAGGAAGAAAAGCGTGCATGATGAATGAACAATAGTAAAAGAGTACAGGTGGCATGAGGGCAGATGTACCTGAGAGTCACTAACCCCACAAGTGGGAATAGTCCCCCATCCATGACATCTATAATACAATGCCAATTCTTCTTGGGTTTACATGGCCCCCATATTCCTTGTGCCTACTTTCACCAATCTTGATAACAACCGTCCCTGCCAGGCCTCTCATTACTCTACTGCTGGGTCAGCTAATCAATGGCAATGACCACAGAGAACCATACTCACAGTTAATAGGTTAAAATTCAGATTGGAAACAGGATACAATTCTTCAGTTAGGGGAGTTTCTCAAGCATGCTTTTGGCTCACTCCTGTCAATTATGGCATCTCCCCACCGTCCTCCCCAGTCCTCCAGCAAGCTTAAGTAAAGGCCCCAGGCTCTGGTTCCATGGGGCAGCAGTCCCAGGTCTGTCACTGTTCTTACAGGAATCTTTGGCCTTGAAGGATATGTGAGGCATTCTCTGCTTCTTTCTTGCTTGTACAGAGATTCCCATCTTCTTCCTCTGCACGGGCTCAATTTAAGCCTGTCAGGAAGATAAAACTAGCCAATCCCCTCATTAGTAGCCTACATACTCTATTTGCATGTCCTTGGCGGCAAGGAGCTGTGCTGCCAACCTGAAGGCACACAGTTCGAATCTACCAGCCACTCCACAGGGGGAAAAGATAGCTAATCTCCTCTCATGTGATTTACTGCCTCTGAAAACCTGCTGAAGGGTCCGTTATGCATCTGCTCCAAGCTGACAGTACATAACAACAACTCAGGCATGTGGTGAAAGTCAAAGGCTGCAGCCTAGGAAAGTTATTGTGACAAATAAGTCCCTGTATCATAGCACCTCTGGTTTTGTAAGGACCTGTGACACTGTGAGATCTCAAAAACTGAAAAAGAGGTACCACAAACACATCCATTGTAATCAGTATGATGAATACCAATGAAGCCACACCTTCCCCGTCAGTTCCTGTGTTGTCTTCTGGCATCAGAGCGTCTTTCTCAAGGGCATCTATGGTCTTGATGAGCAGAGTAAAGTCATATCTAATATATATGGTATTGTCATGGTATCATCGAGAACCCAACAATCAAGTAACCCGAGGGGTACTCAGCTTGTTGCTCTCAAGTTGGAACCAGCTCACAGCTGACCCTCCAGTTTTCAGAGGGTGTAATTCCCCTGGAAGGAGATGGCCCAGCTTTCTCCCAAGGAGTAGCTGGTAGATTCCAACCGCTTGTCTTTGGGTTGGGAGCACAACTCCTTCTTTACCCACTAGGCCACCAGAGTTCCTAAGAGTGTTATTAAAATGCATCGTGATGTTGCAGTGGTTAAGCGTTCAGCTGCTAACTGAAAGGTTAATGGTTTGAAGCCACCCGAGGCTTTTCAGAAGAAAGACCCATCTATCTGCTTCTGTATATGTTATAAACGAGAGAAAAATCTCTCTGCGGGCAGTGGGGCTGTGTGTGTGGGAAATGCTTCTCTGTCATGTAGGGTCACCATGTGGTGAATCAACTCAATGGCAATCAATAATAACAGACATAACTGGAGTCCCAGAAACAAGAACGGGCAGTGAATGTTCCCACAGACTTTACAATGATAGCACTTCACCCTGGGAAGGGTGCCCTGAAATCAACTAGTCCCACATTTCACTAAAAGGACTGAAAGAGACATTGTATTATTAGGAAACAACTGGGAATAGGGTGGTATGTATCTTTCTAAGATGATGCTCATGGAAAACATACATTCATGAGTCTATTCATCCATGAATATTTATGAAGTGTCTCATCTGAGACAAGTAAGTACTGTTGTAATCTAAGGAGACAGGGCAATGGACAAAGCAGATGAAAACTCTCCCTTGTGTCTAGTGAGAGAGGCAGGTGAAGCACAGACGAATATATAAAAACTAAGCCGGTGATAACAATTACCAGAAACAATTAGGAGGAAGGGAGAGTGAGTGAGCAGGAGGCCAAAGAGGGCACTGTGCTGTGCAAGAGCACATGTGTGAGACCCGAATAAAGACATGGAGTCGTATAGCTCTCGAGGAAAGGACACGTAGGAAGAGGGGAGGGCAGGAGTCAGGGTCTTGGGGTGGCATTGTGGTTGATGTTGTCAATAAGGTCCAAGGGGGCTGCAGGAGCCAGAACAGGTGAGAGGGCCAAGGAAGAGGAAAAGGGATTTGTAGGTCCTTGAAGATTATGGACAAGATTCTGACCGAGTTGAGACATCCCTAAAGGGTGTAAAATTAATATACAAGTAAGATTATGTTAGAAAATCCCTTTAAACCAGTAGGGGTTATCCAGCTCTTACCATATGCACTTGAAGATTTACTGAAGACATGGGAAGAGCACAGGAAAAAGCATGCGAATTGGGCAATGAAAATCATGGTCACCTGAAAAAAAATAGCTATACAATTCCTAACATTAATGTCAAAGGAGGGAACTCTGGTGGCCTAGTGCCAGGAAACTGTGCTGCAATCCCAAAGGCACACGATTTGGGGCCACCAGCTACTCCACTATCGGTCAGTTCTGACTCAATGATACACAACCACAATAACAACAATGTCAAATTACCACACATGGTTTCTTAGTGCCTTTAGTTTTCTCTTTCCTGATTTTCCTGCAGTTTTAATACATGTTAGTTAAGTCTTTGGTGTAAAATGAACTAATGGAGTTTTATTTCAGGTCAAGGAGTTTGTTAAGTCAGAAACAAGGTGAAATGATGATGATTAAAAAAACCATGGGATTTAAAAGAATAGCTCTC